ATGGCTAAACTTCGTCTCTCATACTTTGGACATGTTGTCAGGAGGGAACAGTCGCTGGAGAAGGATGTCATGCTAGTTAAGATGGAGGGTCAGAGAAAAAGAAGACCCCCCAACGAAATGGATCGGCCAGGTGGCATCATAAATGGCGTCAAGTGTGGCAACGATAGTGAGGTTGGCCCAGGATCAGACATTGTTTCGTTCTGCTGTGCATGGGGTCGCTATGAGTCGGTTTTGACTTGATGGTACCTGACAACAGCAACATTATGACAGAAAGGCTGGAAAACGTGCATCGATGCAAACAAAGTGTTAAGAGCAACAACCAGAAGCAACCCAACCCTGTTTCATTTTGTGAGTGTTCTATAATGTCGATCCTGTATTCTTCTGTGCTTATGTAAAACATTGATCATTCTTAATGGGAGACATGCTATTTACAGGACCTCCCTTGGTACATTTGAATTCTAGAACTTTGTATAGAAATGATAGGAAAAATTCATAGGACTTTATGAATTTGAGTCCTGAAGGATTTAATGCCATCAGACTTGCAACTTTAGAAACTACCAAAATAAAAATAAAAAGATTTGGGGCTGTTGATTTATTTTGTCAACTCATGTTTCTAGCACCAAAAATGTAGGAAATTAACATTAAACATGCTCCTTTATATTGAATGAACTTGACTTTCATGTCCCTATTTTTCTGTTTTGCCTCAGATGAAAGCTTGTTTTATCTAATCCACTCCTTACTGTGGGAATAAGGACAAGTGAGACTGATACGAGGTTGCATAACTTGTTTGTTGTTCAGGTGATAACAGAACCAGCTTTTAAAGAAATATCCATTCTTAAAGGTGTTTTACATGGAATTGTCTCAGAAAATGCATAGTTTCACTAGGTGGTCTTTAAAAATTTCAGTGTTCCTATTTGATAATTTGATAATTTTGGTAATTTATCATATAATATTTAAGTCTAATATTTGCATAAATCTTTTGGTGTCAACAATTGTAAAAAGATTTGTATTTACCTTTACAGAAAGAAATGTATTGTACGTTTTAAGGAATAGGCTGTGTACAGAATAGCCTGTAGTATTTGGGAGATTAAGACATGAGCTACTTATACACAATGCATATGAGTGCATAAAGAAGTTGGAAGGTAGAAATGGGCTAAAAACAAATTTTTGTTGAATTGTTATGGTACTGCTTAAAAGTAGTTAATCTCTGTTTTACAGATAAATGGGTTAATAGAATGAGAATAATAAATAAAAGGCCATTTGACTAATATGTTGTCAAATCTGGGATTTGAATGAGTTCTGTTTCCAAAATGTCACCTCTTAAGTTTACTGGGTTTTTATAACTTTATATCAAAGCCTGAGGCACAGAAGGTTTTTATAAATGGTACCTACTGTTTTGAAATTGAATAAATTTGAAGAATTGCTGTTATCTGAGGAGACTTGGAAAGTTTGAAGAAAAATTCCATTGTCTTTTAACTCCAGTTTTACAAGAAGCTTCCTTGTATTTTAGTTAGTCTCCTTTCAAACACTTTGTCATAGTTGTGCCTTATGTCTTTCATAGGCAAGAGTGATGAGCAGCGGGCTGCCGCAGCATTGGCATGCGTTCTTTGTATTCAGCTGGGCCCCGGGATTGAAAGTGAAGAGATCTTAAAAACTCTTGGCCCAATCCTAAAGAAAATAATTTGTGATGGAGCAGCTAGTATCCAGGCTAGGCAAACAGTAAGTATAAGATTTGAGGTTTTAAGATTTATAGATCTAGGTAAGCATAACACTCAGACATTCTGATGAAGAACCTTGGAAAACAGCATTTTTACAAATCTTAGGTTTTTATTAATATTCTTTTGTCATTGGTCTTTCAGTTTTACTGAGCTCTAATATGACAACTTTTGTTGTTAAGTGCTGTTGAGTCGGTTCCAACCCATAGCGACAACTGCTTTTTTTGTATTTTATGAAACTTCATGAAACATCTCATATAGAATAAATTTCTATTGTCTTTAAAGTTGAAGATCATATTTAAAAAACTATACTGGGTTATTTAGGATGATTGCAAGTTTAAACTGGAACTTGAAATATTCTAGATACTTATTGTTTATTGATTAAAATGCCAGTTTTCTGCTTATTGACAATTTTTTACCTTTTTGGCTGCCTTGTCAGGAAGTTCAATGCTGTATTTACATGGCTGGATCTGGGTAGATGTAGACAATGCTGAAATTGACGTGTGAAATGTTCATGTCGTTTTGGGTTTTGAGGACGGTGTATTTTTATGCTATTCTTTACTTGATTTTCGATTGTGGTTTAAAAATTGGGGGGGTCTTTGTTTTATTTTGATGTACTAATGAACAGTGATTTAAATGATCACATGAACATACTTTGTTGTATCACAGAAACGTAGGAAGCATTCTTAGTGGATTATTTGTGAAGTAATGTGAATAGTAAGCGGTCTTCCTAACAAGTTGAACTAGTTCATTGTTTTCCCAGTCTACAGTTCATTTTTGTTGAAATTCTGATTTTTCAAATTAGGGTTATCTTTAGGCTTATTTAGCAAGCTCTGGTAGCATAGTGGTTACGAATTGGGCTTTGAACCTCAGGGTCAGCAGTTCGAAACTACCAGCTGCTCTGCGGGAGAAAGATGAGGCTTTCTGCTCCAGTAAAGATTTACAGCCTCGGTACAGGGTCACTATGAGTCAGAACCGACTCCACGGCACATAACTAACTTAACTTTAGGCTTATTTAATGTAAGTATCATTAACCTTTGTACTGGATACACCCTGGAATCTCTGTGACCTCGCATGAGTCACTGTTTCACCACCCAGTACAAGTTGGCAGGTCTCCACTGAGATCCCCTGAGCAGCTAGATAGGGAAAGCTAGATGAAGAGGCTGACGACAGTGGCCTGAGTACTTCCGTCTGTTCCTGACCCTCAGCTTGCCCAACTGTGGAGGCCTCACTGCCCTGGAAGAAACATACAGGAGTTTGTGAGTTGGTAGATATCTAGGTCCTCAAGTAGTTAGTTCTAAGATGTTTCATTAGCTTTTGTTCCTTACATTTTCACTTCAGACACTTTACCATAGAAGATATTTAGATGACCAGCAAACACATGAATAAATAAATGCTCGCTATCATTAGCCATTGTAGAGATATAAATCAAAACGAGATTATCATCTCAGCCCAACATTAATAGCAAAGTTCAAAAGTTCAGAAAACAACAAATGCTGGTGAGGCTGTAGGAGGACTGAAACCCTAACAGTGCTGGTGGCATTGTAAAATGGTGTCACCACCAGGGAAAGCAGCATGGCTCTTGTTTAAAAGTTGGAAATAGAACTGCCGTCTGATCCAGTCCCCACTGCTGGGTGCACATCCTAGAGAAATCAGAGCTGTGACACGAATAGATACATACACACCCATGTTCATTTAACACTGTTCACAGTAGCAAAAAGATGGAAACAGCCTAAATGCCGACGTTTGAAGGATGCTGATTTTGCTCTAGAGTGAAATGATTAAATAGGCAGATGTGACTTCAGATTCCAGTTGGGCCAATCTTGGCTCTGTAATAATTTAAAATCTCAACAGTTTATTTTTCCATTTTATAGTAATGGCTAGTATTCTTTATGGGTTTCCAAGTGAAAAGTATCTTCTGGTGTGGTGCTGTAGGATAGTATTGGATTGCAAACCACCGCATGGTTGGCATTTCAAACACGTCAGCTGTTCCTCGCAAAGAGTTAACCAAACAGGCCTGAGACTGGCATATATATATATAGAGAAAGAAACCTGATTGCAAGGTTACTCTTGGTTGGGTTCCTATCATTCCCTGATAAAAGAGAGGCTCACGTGCGCTAAGTGTTTGTGCAAACGTGGTCCTTGCTGAACACCTGCTTTCCGTCTCTGAGCTGGAATTTTGGTATGGACCTGTCAGAGCATGCCTACATGACCAGCACCTACTCAAAACCCTGGGCACCGAGTCTCTGCTGAGCTTCCGTGGTAGACCACGTTTGTACATGTATGCCTCCACTGGGAGGCGACCCTTAGGAACTTGTGCCTGCTTTCCTCCAGACTTCATTCACTTGCCCTGTGTCCCTTTTCCTTGTACTCCTTTTGTTTTGTATACTTCACTGTAGTAAAGCTTAAAAAAAGAATATAAATAGTTTTAAAAACTTATAAATCTATAACAAGTTTAGTGGATTTTAATTGTATTTTTGGAAAGAATACGCTTCCTTATCTCAAATGTACAAACCTCATCTCTGCTCTGAGGTGGAGTTGAAGCTGGTAGTGATCTGGTAGGCACCTGTGTTGTGAAATTCTGTCAACTCAGTTCCAACTCAAAGCGACCCTGGTGAGTGGTTTTAAAGAGCAGCTTGTGGGTTTGAACCACTGACCTTGTAGTTAATATTACAATGTTTATTCTACAGCACCATACCAGGACTCCTTAGCCATCTATTGTTGTTAAGTGCCATCAAGTTGGTTCCGACTCACAGTGACCCTGCATTAGATTTCCCAGGAGTGGCTGGTGAGCTTGAACTGCCGGTCTTGCGATTCATACTGTCTTTGCAGTCCAGCGCATTACCCACAGCGCCACACCAGGAGTTTTAGGCATCTGTAGAACATACAAAAAGGAAGATAACTAGTTCTTCCTTTTCAAATGCTTCACTACCTTAAAGAAATCTGGCAGTCTAAATCATAGGCTTTGGAACAGAATGGATTTAGGAATATGTATTTCATTTTCACCCACTGTCTTTTTTTCAATTTTGTAATAAAGGAAGACCCAAAAGAAAGGGAATAAGTTTGCTAAAGTTGTGCTTTACAGTGTGAATTTGTACAGTGAGAGGAGCGCTGGGGCTGAAGCCCACTTTATAAGGTTCTTTCTCTCATTTCACACTATCCTTACTTGGGACCTACTATAATCGTATGGACTTGTGGTGTGGCAATGTAGAATCAGCACTGGACTGTGAACCACAAAGTGGGCAGTTCAAACCCACAAGGTACACCTCAGCAACCCTATACAGGGTTGATATGAGTTGAAATCGACCTGATGGTACTTAACAAGATAATTTTACAGTTGAGAAGTAAAATGTAGAATTAATAAGTAATAAAATCCTAAACTTTCTATTTTCCTTTCTTTAGTGTGCAACTTGCTTTGGTGTTTGCTGTTTTATTGCCACAGAAGACATTACTGTAAGTATAAACCTTTGACTCTAGTTATTTGCATATATCTAATTCACGATAGTTATCTTACTTGATATTCTTATGTATTAGGAGCTGTATTCCACCCTCGAATGCTTGGAAAGTATCTTCACCAAATCATATCTGAAAGAGAAAGACACTAATGGTCTCTGCAGCAGCCCTAACACAGTGCTGCATGTCAGCGCGCTTCTGGCGTGGACCTTGTTACTGACCATTTGCCCCATCAATGAAGTGAAGAAAAAGCTTGAGATGTATGTAGTTTTAGTTTCATATTTTATAAAACATTTAGTGGCATAATTAGTCATGTTCACAAATTAATAACGAACTCTTTTTCAGGCATCTGCATAAGCTTCCAAGCCTCCTCTCATGTGATGATGTAAACATGAGAATTGCTGCTGGAGAATCTTTGGCACTTCTGTTTGAGCTGGCCAGAGGGATGGAGAGTGTAAGTATCTGATTGGTGGCGGAAGGAAGTTATGTTTCAAGGACCTTGATTCTCTCATGATTCTCTCATTCCAAGTAAGAATTGGGTGGTGGCTGTGGAGTGTGGCCAGCTTTGGACCTAGGGACACGCTACACTGCTGCTTGGCAGTGCCAATAGAATACTTTGAGATTATAGCCAATAGTGATTGGTAGAGCTGTAGCTGAGCAGGATTACTTTTCATTGTCTATAGAATTGAAGTTTAGGTTATTTTCTACTACTCATGGAAAGAGTGGCGTCTATTAGAATCTGTATGGAAGTGCTTGTGTTTCTCAGACACAGGACACATTAAGGTAATTCATACATGGATGCTTAGTTTTTTTTATAGCTACCATAACAATACATGCAAAGCAGGTGGCTTTAAAGAACCAAAGTTGATTTCCTTGGGGTCCTGTCAGGCCTTTCTCCTAGATTCTGGTGACAGCCAGCACACCTTGCCAGTTCTTTACTGTACATAGATGCATCTGCCTCTGTTGTCACATGGGGTCTCCCTCTGTGTGTCTCTGTCTGTACTTACTTTGTTTGTAAGTTACTGCTCAGAAGGGTCGAGGTTTAGGATGCACCTATACTCCAGTATGGCTCCTTGGTTGCTGGTGTTTGGGTGCCATCAGGGTGATTCCCACCCATAGTGACCCCATGTGACAGTAGAACTACTCTAGGGTTTTCCTGGCTGTAAGCCTTATGGAAGCAGATTGACAGGTCTTTTGCTGAGTGGGTCCCAACCTTTTGTTCACAGCTGAGCACATAATCCTTATTTTCAAACAGGAACACATTTACTAGTTTAGTATGGTAGTTAGGACTTCAACATATATTTTGGGGGGTGTAATTCAGTCTTTAACACATACTTTATAATATCAGATCATTAGATGAAATACTAAGTGAGCTTATGAGGGTGCTTTATAAAGTTCATAGAAAAATCTCATCTTTTAGTCCCATTTTCCATAAACTTTTTGAATTCACCTCATGAATTTGGACTCAAGTGAGTTTAGTTTTTGTTGTTTTAATTTCTCTAAGCCAGAGGGGGGAATAAACATGGCCCTATCTGTATAGAAAGCACTGGATTACTAACCCACAAGTTAAGCAGTTCAAGCTTAACAGCTACTCCTTGGAAACCCTACACAGGATCACTTTGAGTCGGAACCCACTTGATGGCACTTTGTAACAACAGCTATATACTTGGGGATGAGCTTTACCATTCGCTTGTCCACCGTCTGTAGTCACTGATGGTAGTTACTGTTTGTTTGACTCCTCAGTGTATTGGAGTTGGTGATAGAGTAGAGTGAGCACCCATCCTGCTTTGCCTAGTCCGGTCCATTGTTGTCACGGATAGTCCTGTGTCTTAGGAAACTTCTCCCAAGTGAACTGGGACATTTGATCACTTTAGTGCGTGACCTCTATTCTAAAGGTTAAAGAGCTCTGTTGGTTCTGTAGTTAAGCACTCTGCTGCTAACTGAAAGTTTGGTGGTTTGAACCCATCAGCTGCTCCAAGGGAGAAAAATGAGGCCTTCTGTTCTCATAAAGATTTTCAGTCTCAGAAAACCCTAAGGCCTAATTCTATTCTGCCCTAGTGGGTTTCTGCGAGTCAGAATTGACTCAATGGCAATGCTTTTGGGGTTTTTTTGTTGGTTTGTTTTTGTCCTTAGGCTTACCCAAAGAAATGCCTGAAATATTAGAGCTGGGAGAGGGGAAATGTTTTAAAATCTCTGCTTCAGATAGCATGCTGATTTTTAAAACTGAAGAGCAGCTCTTACTGCCTTCACACCGAATCCATAGATAGTGTCCCATTAACAAGGAAAATCTGATCAGGAAACTCAAACTGGAAATGTTGCTGACCTTGAATTATTCACTAGATGCTTATAAATTGGAAACTAATTCTGCAGTTTAGGAGGCTATTTAATAGTTCATAATTCCATTTAGGATTAATACAGGATTCCTGTTGACCTGCCATGTTTAGTCCTCTCATTCCATTCTAGGTCTGTGTTTGGAAATTGATTGGTCCATTCTAGGTCTGTGTTTAGAAATTGATTGGTCAGTACTGGTGTCAGTGCCATCAAGTCAGTTCTGTCTCATAGCAAGCCAGTATAAACTTGTAGGTTTGAACCACTGATCTTTCGCTTAGCAGTACATTGCTTATCCTACAGTGCCACACCAGTTCTTAAAACTTCTTTTAAGCATCTTTCCTCACATCCCTTCATCCCCCTTTTTGGAACAATAGCAAGTATTTTGGAAAGTAAGTTAGTGCTGCCAGTAGGTAATTGTTCTTCTCATTATGAGAAATTGTACTCAAGTTTAGCTAGCAGGTGAATTTTACTGAACTACTTAATGGGTCCTTAACTTCAAGGCAAATAAACCTGATGCCCCAGTGTTTATCCTGTGTTATTCACTGGTAGAGATAGCAATTTATTTCTTTTCTTTTTCTTTTGACATACATCTTAAATTGAAGTAACAGTGCAATTTAAGTTATGCATGTTGATTTTATTTAAATTGTATAAACATATCATTTGCTTGTGTATGTGCTGGGGTGGTGGTGATGGGGCTTAATTATAGAATGTTCAAAAATTAAACGAGGGTTGATGAATACCTAGGGAATTGTAAAGGAGGATTCTTGTAGCAAATGTTTAAGTGTCGTTGAGTCATAGTGACCCTGGAGAGGGTTTCTAAGGAGCTCCTGGTGGGTTTGAACCACCGACCTTGTGGTTGGCAGTCCAGTGCTTATTCTACATCACCATACTTTGAACCTTTTGCTTACATAATTGCTCTGTGATACTAACCCAGGAATCTAAACGTGTGATGAATTATGTCTGGGAGACCTAGAGGAACAACTTCCACAGAGCTGATACTTGAATTGATTTTTACCGAATGAGATGGTAAACATTAATGACAGCTGTTCACTGTTGAAATTAAGATGATTAATATTTGATGTGTACTCTTGTGGCTTGCTGTGCATGTTTGCTGTACAACTGAGTAGACACTGGAGCCACACTGCCAAGAAGTAGATCTTTCCCACGTTCACTAGTTGAATGACCTTGGGCAACTTCTCAATGCCTTCATGTCCTTTAAAGTTACAGTAACTTTCTCCATCCATGGGATTGCTGAGAGCACTTACTACTCAAGTACCACGCTGTTTGAGCAGTACTATACTACTATATAGTACTATACTACTTGAGTAGCAAGTACTATACTATTACTTAATTGAGTATTGCCTCCTCCCTACCAAAAGTTTAGTTGTGACCTTTTAGGAACTCTGTGGTAACTTAAGGAGTCCTAGTGTGGTGCTGTGGGATAAAGCACTGGTCAGTGGGTCAAACTCATAGTGATAAGGTTTCCAAGAAGTGGGTCAACCAGCCACTTCTTGGAAACCTTATCACTATGAGTCACTATGAGTTGGAACTGACTTGAGAGCACTTAACAAGAACATGGTAACTTAAAATAACACAAAGACAATGTGGTAGTAGAATTATGGATCTTGGATGGGGAAGGTTGCATGATGATCTGGCTCAAGCCTGTCTCTAGAAAATATATGGCAATACAGTATATACCTGGAGTGCTGATGTGGCACTGTAGAATAAGCACTGGACTGACGGCAAGGTAGGCAGTTTCTCCTTGGAAACACAATACAGGGTTGCTGGGAGTGAGAACTTGACTGAATGGCACTTAACAAAATCAGCACAGTATATAGCCCGACTCCCCATCTAACGTGACAGAGAAGTGATACAGCAGAGAAAAAAGGAATGAGGTGAATATATCAAGTTCTGGATGCTAGAAGCTGACACCAAGGTGTTGGCAGGCCTATGGTGTCACTGCAGGCTCTAGTGGAAATCTTTTCTTGCCTTTTCGAGTTTCTGGTGATTACTGGCCATCTGTAGCATCTTTAGGCTTATAGGTGCATCACTCCATTCTCTGCCACGTAATCACATGGTCTTTCTCTGTGTGTATCTTCTTATAAAGACATAAAGACACCAGTCCTGTGGATTTAATACATTGTTACCATATCATAATTAACTAAGTACATATATGAAGACCCTGTTTCCATTTCTGGATTCCTTTTCCTATGTCTTAGATTTTCTTTCTTTTTCTGAAAGAACAGGTTTGAGATAATTTTTCCTAAAGTATTTTATGTTATTTTTCCAAAGTTTTAGTACCATATTGAATTCAGTGATTCACAGACTAACCTAGACTGAATTTTCTTGTGTTATGACAGGTATCTTATACACTGTAAAATATTTAGCAGCATCCCTGACCTTAATCCACTAGATACTATTAAACGTTTCTCTGCCTAAAGTCTTGACAACCAAAAATGTCTGCAGAAAATTATTCACAGTTGGGAATTATTAGGGCTAGTTTCCAGACCTTACAACAGATTAAGGTAATGTGTAGAATTTTAATTTTTTACTTGCTCATCTGGAGATACACACATTTATACAAAGGGACTTCAAAAAGTTCATAGAAAATAACGGTGTCTTTTAGTTACATTTTTTCCATGAACTTTTGGAAGGCCCTCATATGAAAAATAACTTGGCATCAGAATTAAAGGAAGACTCTTCAGCAACCTGTGATACGCAGATGACACCACCTTGCTTGCTGGAAACAAGAGGACATGAAGTATGGATTGCACCTCAGTGTAAAGAAAATGAAAATCCTCACAACTGGACCAGTAAATAACATCATGATGAACAAAAAAGGTGGAACATGTCAAAGATTTCATTTTACTTATAGCAGTCAAGAAATCAAACTACATATTGCATTAGGCAAATATGCTGCCGAAGACCTCTTTAAAGTGTTAAAAAGCAAGATGTCACTTTGAGGACTAATGTGCGCCTGACCCAACCCGTGGTATTTTTAATTGCCTTATATGTGTGGGAAAACTGGATAGTGAATAAGGAAGACCATAGAAGAATTGATGCATTTGAATTATGAATATGCCATGGACTGCCAGAAGAATAAACAAGTAAGTGTTGGAAGAAGTATGGCCAGAGTGCTCCTTGGAAGCAAAGATGGCGAGATTTCTTCTCTTGTACTTTGGATGTGCTGTCAAGAGGGACTAGTTCCTGAAGAAGGACATCATATTGGTAAAATGAAGAGTCAGTGAAAAACAGGAAGCCCCTTGGTGCAGTGGATTAACATAGTGGCAACAACAGTGGGCCTCCAACATGACAGGTTTGAAAATGGCAGAGGACTGGGCAGTGTTTCATTCTGTAGTATGTAAGGCCACTGCGAATGGGAATTGGCTTGACAGTAAGAACTATCAACACTTATGGAAGCAGCAGTCAAGAAATCAAACGACGTATTGTATTAGGCAAATCTGCTGCACAAGACCTTTTTATAGTGTTGAAGAGCAAAGATGTCAGCTTGAGGACTAAGGTGCGCCTGACCCAAGCCATAGTATTTTCAATAACCTCATATACATGTGAAAGCTGGACAGTGAATAAGGAAGATTGTAGAAGAATTGATGCTTTTGAGTTATGGTGTTGGAGGAGAATATTGAAAGTGCCATGGGCTGCCAAAAGAACTGTTAGATCCGTTTTGGAAGAAATGCAACCAGAGTGGTCCTTAGAGGCCAAACATGACCAAACTTCGTCTCATACTTTGGACATTGTCAGGAGGGACTAGTCGCTGGAGAAGGATATCATATTTGGTAAGGTGGAAGGTCAGAGAATAAGAGAAAGATCCCCAACGAGATGGATTGGCCAAGTGGCAACATTGATGAACTCAAGCGTGGCAGCAGTAGTGAGGTTGGCCCAGGATCGGGCAGTGTTTCTTTCTGCTGTACATGGGGTTGCTATGAGTTGGTACCGACTCGATGGCACCTAACAACAACAACCAACAGCATATACATACACGCTCTAATTTATTTTTGGATAAAACTTACGTTTATGTTACTAAAAAAGAAAAAGCAGCGGATAAAATTTATAAGAAGTTACCATTCCCTGAAATATGTTTCTGTAACTATTTCCATCTTATATGTATAATGACTTATAATTGTCTGTTCTAGAACTTTGGTTAGCTAAGTACCTTTTTTAGTCAGCTAAGTAACTTTGAACTATTTTAGTTTTTAATGTGATTGAAAAACATAGTTTGGTAATGAAAACATTGAACATAAAGAAATCTCTTAATTGTATAGCCACTTAAACTATAACAGGGAAGCTGATAGTCAATTATAGTAATAAACAAATAGGAATAACATTTTGTAGTTTCCCCAAAAGGGATTAAAGTATCATTGATGTTGTTAGATTCTGTTAAATGGATTCTGACTCATGTTGGAATTAGTCATGTGCTTTGGAGTTGGTTCCGACTCATAGCCACCCTGTATGGAATTTCCGAGGCTATAACTCTTTATAAGAGCAGAGAACCTCATTTTACTCCTGAAGAGTGGCTGGTAAATTTACACTGCTGACCTTGTAGCTAGCAGCCCAACTCATAACCCATTGTGCTACCAGAGCTCCTTGGTAGTTGGTGGTTATGTGTCGTGGAGTCAGTTTCGACTCATAGAGACCCTGTACAGGGTTTCTGAGGCTGTAAATCTTTATGGGAGCAGAAAGCCTTCATCTTTCTCCCGCGGTACAGCTGGTAGTTTCGAACTGCTAGCCTTGCGGTTCGCAGCCTGATTTGTAACCACTATGCTACCAGAGCTCCTTAGCACCCATGTAACTAACAGTAGATGTTGTTAAGTGCTGTCAAGTGGGTTCTGACCCATAGTGACTCTGTATAGGGTTTCTGAGGAGCTGCCCATTAGTACTTCAGTGTTTACAGAAGAAGATTGCCAGGTTTTTCTTCCAAGGAGCAGCTGATTGTGTTCAGTTGCTGAGCTTTATGCCAGCATTATATTGTTATAATATTAACCATTAACCACCAGAGCTCCTTAAAGTACTTTACTTAAAATAATCTAATCATCTTATTTATAGATGTAACATAAATGCTTTATTACTTATTTGAAATATAGCCTGTAAGTGAGAAATCAAGTACTTTAATGATAATTGGAATTCTGGGGGTGGGGCTTGGAGACTCGAGTAGCTGCCTTTTCTCTACTTGTTTGAAACACAGCTGATAGTTGATGTACATACAGTAGAAGCATAGTAAGTATTTGTTAAATGTATCTGGATATATTTCTTAAATGTATATGGATATACTTGGAAGGGATATAATATTGTTTGGCAGTAGTATATAATTTTGCAGTTAGTGTTTCTGCATTAAATTTGTGCATTAATATGACACATGTTTGGCCTTTGTGCCAAGATCTCTAGAGAGCTTGAAGATTTGTGTTGCTTTCTGCAGCATCTCTGGGTGATTTGCCAATGTAGACTGTTCTTTGTTAGCTCTAAAAGAGGCTGAAAAATACAACCACCAAACAGAATTGTTTCTCTTGACCAGGACTTTTTTTATGAAGACATGGAGTCTTTGACTCAAATGCTTAGGGCATTGGCTACAGATGGAAATAAGCACCGGGCCAAAGTGGACAAACGAAAGCAGCGGTCGGTATTCAGAGATGTTCTGAGGGCAGTGGAGGTAGGTCTCTTAAATACTATACTGTGATAGTAACTCATTTTGAAATTAACCTTGACATTCTGTTGATTGAACTTAACCTTTGAGCAAAATAATTTTCTCTCTGAGCAAAGTTTATTTTTGTTTATACACTGTAGATGCAAATGATATAGCAAAACATTTCCCATTTCATTTTTTACACATACAATTTATTCAGTGATAGTGTGTTCATTTTGTACAACTATCACTATTCCATTACCCTTGTCAGAACTCACCAAACAGCTTTTAAACAATATAAGACTTTTAGACACAGGAAATGTTGTGCTGATGTCTTAGAGGTACTTTTTACGTTTGAATAAAACTAAAAGTTCCAGAGTGGTAAATTGCACCTTTGTGTACTTGTCATCATGTAAACAATGTTGCTTAACACATATATACTAGTTAAGTGCCATCGAGTCTGTTCTGATTCATAGCGAACCCTGTATAGGGTTTCCAATCTTTGCCGGAGCAGAAAGTCTCATCTTACACCTGCTATAATCATACTTAGTTTAGTGTTTTTTGTTGTTTTTAGTTTTGGTGCATGTAACAAGTTACTAGGACTCCTGGTGTGGCACTGTAGGATCAGCACTGGACTGCGAACCACAAGATTAGCAGTTCAAACCCACCAGCTGCTCCTCAGAAACCGTACATAGGATTGTTATGAATCAGAACCGACTCATTCACACTTACCAACCAGACAATAATTAACGGTGTACGGTTAATTTGGCATTTGTTACCTTCAAACAAAAACCATTATGGTTTTTCAAGGAGAGCAATTGCTAAAAACTGAAATAATCCGAACATCTTTACAAGGCCACTTAGAGCCGTTATCTGATGCATGAATTCCTTCTATAATCCTCTAACCTCTGCTTCAGTACACAGGGCAAATGAATTGATTTAGAAACCTTCAGGGAATGGAATGCCTGGCTACAATGAGCTTAGGATGAAGGTAGTCTCACTGTGGAGAATACTGTAAACTTGTTTATAATTGCTATATACTTACATATACATATACATATATAGTTTGTTTTTCCTAGTAAGAGATATTTCTTGGATTCAAAATGTAAATTTCTCAGGTTATTACCATTTGATATGGCTGTTCTTGAGTCTATAGTGGTATTCAACCTGTGGGGTGTGTGAAATTTTTAAATAGTAATTAACAAAGAGATGCTACGGCCCCACCCACTTTTGAAATGTTCTTATAATTTACTGAGTATGGCAGTACCCCCAAACCAGGCAAGCAGTTTTCTCAAGTTATCTCTGACTTATTCCTTTATTTTAATTTTGGGGATATTGTTGCCTATGAAGGTAAGATCACATGCCCTGAATTTTCTGAATGAGCCCTGTTTCCAATTTTTCATGTGATTCTCTCTGGGTTACCAATTGTAAAAGGCCCACAGGAGCTGACAAACCTAGTGATCCTCAGCCCAAGCCGGTCCCGGCACTCAGCTCTGATTACTCTGAGATACCCCGGCACCTTTCTCCCACTCTTGGGACCACCACTATCCTCTTCCTCATGACTTTTCCATATTCATGGTTCATCAAAGAATTAAGCATCTGGCATTTTTCTTTTAATTTTAAAATTTATATTGTTTTTAGATATAAGTGTACTTAGTAAATTAGGTTCCTAGTTAACAATTTCTATATAGTGGTATTTGGGTGGTCACAATGTGTCAACATTCTCTTTGGTTCTGTTCTGGTTGTTTCATTTCCATTAATCTAGCTTCCATGCCAGCATATCCTCTCCCCCTACCACCCCTCCGCCCGGCTCTTTTACGTTCTCATCTTTCCTTTAGGGTAAATATTGGCTTTCTGGTTTCATACAGGTTTTTTTTTTGTTAGTCAACTTACGAATTAGGCGAAGGTTTATAGTTCCGTTAATCAGTTTTATAATCTATAACTCATATACAGATGATTTTTTTTTTAGAGGAATACACTACCCAATGGTAATAATGTTTATTTTATGAACCAATCTGTTAAAGCTGATTGGTGTCCTGAATGTAGTTTCAATATAAAGTTTAAAGGGTACCTCAGGGTAATAGTCTGGGAAGTCTAATCTCTACTAGTTCAGTAAGCCCAGTTTTTTGTAAGCATTTGAGGTGTGTACTGTATGTTTTTCCCATTCTGTCTGGGATCATCTATTGTGTCCCTGGTTAGAATGATCAGTTGTGGTAGCCAGGTACCACCTAGTTCTTCTGGTCTCAGGAAAAATGAGGCTGTGGTTCTTACAGACGAGTTTCTTTAAATCTTTGGTTTAATGTAACCAGTTTTTATATTCATTATACCAAGCTCTGCCTCTATCCTGGATGGCTTCTCTACCCATTGTAAAAAATTGTAGTTTCTATTTGTTCCATGGACTTTATAATTCTGTTTCATTGGGGCCGCACTCCATGGCTATGGTATGCCTTAAATACAGATTTTTTAACGAGCTCTGGTAGTGTAGTGGTTACGAATTGGGCTGCGAACTGCAAGGTCAGCAGTTCGAAACTACCAGCTGTTCCGTGGGAGAAAGATGAGGCGTTCTGCTCCTGTAAAGATTTATAGCCTCGGAAACCCTGTACAGGGTCACTATGGGTAGGAACCAACTCCACGGCACACAGCCATAGCCATAGCCATAGTCAAATAAGGATTTTGGTAGAATTATTCTGTCTCTGAAATCTTACACTCCATTGTTTACCTCTCATTTTCGTAAAGTGCTCTTGAACCGCTAGCTGCTGGGCCTATCATTTTGGTTTTGGTCTGTTCCCTTCCTTCCCTAAATCCCTGCTGCTCATTATTTCAGTTGCTGCCTGGTGGTGGCATCTGTCTTTTTGCCTTGCCCTGCAAACCCCCATCATAGACCAGTGCAAATGTTTGATTCTTTTAAGTTTCCTGTGAATAAAAGGGAAACTAAAATCACAATAGTTTTGCCATTAATATTTATCCAAACCCAGCTATGTCTTCAGGTCACCCTGACTAGACAGATGGTACACTCTAACATATAGAGATATAGGGCAGTACCTTGAGGTCTTTTCACGTCTTGGGTATGGAGGTATAAATTTAAGCCATATTGTTCATTTATCTTAACAGTTATATGTCTGTTTGGAAATTGTGTTTACGTAGGATCTTTTAAGGTCATTTTAATTCTGCTTATAATTTTGGTTCTTTGTTCCTTGGCTAGGAACGGGATTTTCCAACAGAAACTGTTAAATTTGGTCCTGAGCGTATGTATATTGATTGCTGGGTCAAAAAACACACCTACGACACCTTTAAAGAGGTGCTTGGCTCAGGGATGCAGTACCATTTGCAAGTAAGTTGATGACATCCTTTCTATAAATCTGCTTTTTTTTGTGTATGGGAAAATTCCATTAACTTTTTTTTTTTTTCCTTTAAATGTTTTATTGTGAATTATGTGATAGTTTACATGGGAGAACATTAGTTTTACATTCATTCTATCATATATCGTCTCATTGCCATGGTTATAATCCCCTCTATGCAGTCCTTCCCCCTCTACCCCCCAGGTCTTCAGCACACAGTTGCTCTCCCTCTCTGGATCTAAAGTCTCCAGCTGCTCCAACGCTCCACGTCATCATCTCTGCCTCCATTTCAGGCATCACTGCTTCTCTGGGTAGGGTCCTGCTCTCTGCTCTTCTCCCTTGATGGTCCTAGGGACCTCTGCTCCTAGACTGAAAAGTTAATCACTCCCCTCCTTGTTATAAAACGTCTACCTTTACATTTCTGACCCTCACAATAAGTCCTGATAACAATTATTCACTGTTGTATCACAAAAGACCCGTCTGCATTTCATTGCATCAGCCCCACCTAGACAGATTGGATACTACTCACTGGAGATTCTACCTTCCTCCAGGTCCTCTGGATCTAGGTTCCCTCTTGAAAGCTTGTAAGCCAGTCACTTCTTGCCTTTGTAGCCCCCGCACCCCATTTTGGGTAGCCAATGTCCAAGTTGCCCATCCCTGTCTACTCTGTGTGTGGAAGGGGTGGGAATGATTCTTGCTGTAAGGAATTTTTCCCTCTTTTGAGCTACTGCTTCCATAGGTGTAGGTCAAGTTCATCAAATTGTATGAGAATACTTTTTTTTTTCCCTCTTTTTACTTCTGGTTGAGCTCTGATCATCCAGTAACTAAAGCCAGGATAAGTGGGTATTCGTATCTGCAAGTGTGGGTGTTCGTATGCATATGCCCTCTCTTATCAGCTGGACACTTCACTCTCCACTCTAGTCCTCTCTGGCTATGTCACTGACTCTGGGCCCAAGAGTCCCCAGGTCTTGCCACACTGCTGGCCAACCAGGTCTTCACCCGGGTTCACAGAAGTCTATTGAACGTTGTAGGGCTTAACTCACCGCTTCATTGCTGTTTTTCCCTCACTTCCCCTTATCAGTGTCGAGCGTGATCACCAACCACAGCGTGTATTCCCATTGAGTCTTAGTTTTGGAAGGGGGTTTGCCCTGAGGAGACCCGACCACTTGCCTTGATGTCCGTCTTCTGCCTATAACTGATTGCAATACCTAAAATGGGGCTACAACGTGCCCAGTGAAGGAGGCTTCCTGCGGAGCCTCTGCAATACGTAAGACTATAGGTGGAAGCCTGAACCACATCCAGATCTCCAGAGATGGGAAATTCCCACTTGAAAGGACAAGCAGACCAACCTGGAGTGGCTAGAAGAACAGAAGATACTTGTTGAAAGACAGACCTACAAGAAAAAATATAAAACAACATAGGCAGACCGACTGTTACTACAAGAACAAGCAACTTTTTTCTTAACTTTTTATTGTGAATTGAGTGAAGGCTTATAGATCATATCATCAGTTTTACATTCAATAAATCATATACTTTGCTTCCTTGCAATGGCTACAATCCTTTACATGCACCACTGGTTAACAGTATTTACTCCCATTCGCTTTAACTCTTACATTCCATCCTGTGTCTCCTGCTACCTTCATCTTTTCTCTGCTACCCTGTCACCCATATGAATATGTTAACATCTAGCCTGTGAATAATTTTCCTCCCACAGTAGCCATCACAGATTATTTCTTTTATCAAGAAAACCTTTTCTTAACTTTTCAGAACATTGATCTCATACAATATTCACCTTTTTGCAATTGATTATGCTAGTCACATAACATAACGTCCTCTAGGATCATCCATGTTGTGAGGGGTTTCACAGATTTATCATCATTCTTTAGCGTTGTGTCGTATTCCATTGTGTGTATGTATGTACCAAAGTTTGTTTATCCATTCCTCTGTTGGTAGGCATTTGGGCTGTCTCCATCTTTTGGATTTGTCTCTTACAGACAGCATATTGAAGAATACTGTATTCTTATCCATTCTGCTCTCTCTGTCTCTTGGCTGGTACGTTTAATCCATTTGCATTCAGTGTAATTACCAGTGAGTATGAATTGATTGCTGTCACTTTGCTGTGTGTATTTTTTGTGTGTGGTGCTGTAGGATTCTATGTTCTACATAATTTTCTGTGCTATTAGTGAGTTTTCTTATCATTTTCATTTCTGTTGTGTTAATGCTTACTAAATATTTCTGATTTTCCTCTTTTATTTTGCTATGCAGGTATATTCATTTTCTTTGAGGTTACCCCATGATTATTATTGCTTTTTCCCTTTTTAAAATAGTTTTGTTTTATATTGAAATCTACTGGATTTCCTTATCATTTGGAAGTTGTATATCCAGGTTTTGTAGTTGACTTCATCATAAATTGATCTTTCTTTCAGGTTTCTTATTTTTAGAGCTGTAGGCTTATTTTACTTTAAATACTTTTATATCTGGATTGAGTTTGAGTAGTGTTGTTATGGATGATAATCTCAGTTTGTTGCCTGCTGTTGTTGGTTCTCAGTCCAAAGAATACTTTTAGCATTTTTTGTAAAGTTGGTCTGGTTATTACAAATTCCTTTCATTTCTGTTTGTCAGGAAATGTCCTAATTTCGATGGTTGTATTTGAGGGACAGCTTTGCTGGGTATATGATTCTTGGTTAGCATTATTTTCCCCTTTCAAGAGTTTTGTATATGTCATCCCATTGCCCTCTTGCCTACCTGATTTCTGCTGAGAAATCAGAGCTTAGTCTTTTGGTTCTCTTTTATAGGTAACTTTCAATATTTCTCTAGCTACTCTCAGGATTCTCTACTTGTCTTTGGTTTTGAAAATTTTGATTATAATATGTCTTGGTGATTTTCTTTTGGGATCTACTCTGTTTAGTGTTTCTTTTTGGATCTACTCTGGTGTTTGTTCAGATTCCTGTATGCTTATCTTCTCTCTTTCATGTTAGGGAAGTTTTCTTCCAACAACTCTGGATAATTTTCCTCCAGAACAGGAAGAGACAATAAAAAGATATATCGTTAAGCTCATTAATTCAGGCTTCCATTGATTCACATCTGCTCTTTTACCCTTTAAATGTATTGTACATTTCTGAAATCTTACTATTAATCTGGATTTCACGTTTTATATTGTTTCAAAATAAATATGTCTTGTTTGTTCTTATAGTATTTTCCTGAGCTCTTCTAAAGTGTTTTCTGCGTCCTCCTTGCTTTTGCTGATCTGTCAATCTTTTGAAGGTACCAAAATATCATTCTTGTGAATTCTTTTTCAGTTAGTTCCATTATGTTTTCTTCCTCAGAAATGTTTTCTGGCTCTGTATTTTGGTCATTTGTTTGAACCAATCCCTCTTGTTTCTTAGTGTGAGCTAACATTATCTGTTGTCTCTTGGAATTGTGGGGTTGTTATATATGTATTTAATTTGTGATTGTTTATGTGTTCTTAGGGTCTCACCAACTGTTTCATGTGGGTTTAGTTAGATAAATAATGGGTGTACACTGCTCTTGTTCGCTGTTCATGCACTTCAGTTTAGGGTGGGTTAGCTGGTATTGGCTGCTGTTGACCAGGCAGCATAGGAACTGGTATTGGCTCTTTCCCAGTGTGTGGAGCTGCAAAAGTACAGTTTTGGTTGGGCTGTATGAACATGGTTGTGGTCTTTTGGTTGGCAAAGAGAAAACCACTCACACACACACAAGAAAA